AATGACCAATTAGTTGTTGTATCACTCTAGTTTGAAATTCAGTATGACAATAATCTCCAATTTATGGTGAACTTAAATGAAACATCTGCTCAATGCTTATTATGGCATTCAATAAAATCTACTTTTATCCAATGCATTCAACATAACAATGCATCACGCTTAACACATAATAGAAAATTATGGTATGATAACTTTGTATTCGGTAACGTGTACAGCTGTAAACGAAAGTGTTTTAGTCCAAATTCTATGAACTGTTTTACATAATTCAGACTGAAAAATATTCAAAAGATAAAGCATATTTTACCAACCAATCGTTTTCACAACTGCATCAATATAATACAATATATCATATAAATATAACAGATAATACAAGAAATGATACATTATCTTCAGTATGATGACATTAATGATAATTATACTAAAAATAACGATAATGTTATGAAGAGATAATATGTAATAGAGGAAATGTCGTTGACGTATTATTGATGAAAATTTCATGTGAATTGAGAAGAATGAATGTACAAACTAAGAATAAGGTAAGATAAATATAAATGTCAGAGAGGTTTGAGGAATAAAGGTTTATAATATGTAATTTATATTTGGGATGGGCCATAACAAACAGAGTTGAGGAATACAAGTTCCGTTTTTCAGTGTTGATCCGGATTGTTTCAGTTCTTAATATTATTAACCCGATATAACATTTCTCTTATTGTCCATTGTATTTATATAATTTTCTTTATCGTACTGATTGTAACTCGATACCTTTATTACGAATTTTACTGCTACTGTTTTGTAAATGGCCTTACAACTTTATAAATGACCCATTTTTAAAGTATATGGTCTGTAACCAATGATAAAGTTTACTATTTTAATAAAATAATGTCTCGTTTACCTATTGATATATGCCTTATTTTGGCTATTGTCATATGATAATGCTGGAATTATAGCTGTACAACCAGATAAAAAAAGTCATTGAAAATAATTGTTTTCACTGATATATCTTGTTTTCAATATTCTGTGAGGATCTTTGAAGTATGAATATATAATAAAAGCACAGAGTACATTTAATTTATAACGTCTTTCACTTTAAAATGTACTGAGTCAGTCTAGTATGTACCATGTTTTTCTTTTGATTACTTTGTAACATGTACTGATATTATATTCGGTGTCGTTATTAAATAGGATTACAAACAAAATCTTTTATTTTAGTTTTTGATTGAGACTATAAACCGATTGATGTTAGACCACCATTGTAAACCTGGAAGCATTGGATGGCCGTCTCGTCCCATAGTGGGAATCCTCAGTAGTACGCATCAACGATCCCACTCGCAGAATATAAATATGCTGATAAACTTTCATCTAACTTTTAATTAAATTTTTTCATTAGGCTCTTTTTAATTTACATTATGTACAAGTTAAAGTCATTAGTTCTGTTTCAAACGTTTACTCTTTTCACAATTCCAAAATAAGGACGAAGATATGAGTCTTGGTGTTTTATTATATTACAATCTAAAAAGAGAAAAACTGGTTAATAGAACTTCTAGTAGACACAAATTGTCAAAAAGAAGTCAACCAAATTTAACAGTCCACAATTGAATGTAGAAATGGTTAGCTCAAAAATACAAAGCAATACCACTGACAATAATCAATGATTTCAGTTTAGTAAAAGAAACACACGAGTGCCATCATGATTATTTTTTCAAATAAAAAAACATTATTAATTATGTTTCAGAGGTCTTCATTAAGTTAATTACCAGAGGTTTTATCAAGAGAATCAACAAACGTTGAAATATGCATTTAACGCGTTATAGAATAAACGCCCACATTATATCTTTTTCACTGCTAACTATTATCAAATATAATCTAAATGCATTTTAATTAAAAAACACATTTTACAGAAAACTCAAGTTTGTTTATCACTGATCGCTTATCATAATTTTACAAGACTACTATATTTAAATCTGATCTTCACATATAATAGCATATATGATTATCAGCAGACAAAAAAGTAATGGAAATTGTGAAGGTTTGGTTAAAGTCCAACGGAATCGAGTAATATAATAATAATCGTGATATTAAAGTTTGTTACTATGAATGTAAACAATTTATTTGCCATATGCACGTGTAAATAAAAATGAATGCCTACCCAACACACACACACACACACTATATATATATATATATATATATATATATATATATATATATATATATATATCTTCATATTCCGAAGGCTTAAACGATTTGTACATTGATGGTCTTCCTTGTGATCCTAAAATGTATCTTGAGTTGAATTCTTATCACATTTATGAAGTTAAGTTCGTATGTATTAACTTAAATATTAGAAACGGAAACATGGAAACGTCCATGTATTTCTTTCAATACATGTAAAGTGTCTGAAGTGTTTATATTTTCATAAAACGTACGGATTTGAGTTTTGGATTTAGTTGTTGGAATCTAAATACACGATAAAAATTTCAATGATAAGTCCTTATCATACAATATGACGTGATCATGAGACTCATTTTTTATTATTTTGACTACTCCAACAATACCAGTAGACGGATATCCAATCGTTTTGTAATGTTGTTTAATGGTGTCATTACCTGAACTTTTATTGTTCCTTATAGAATATTGTTTTATTTACTCCATATGCAAGATGTGTTGAAATATGTAGTGGTAATTTTTTATCTATATTTTTTATATTAAGTATTTATTAATAACGGTTTTATTACTGGTAAAATGTCAAACATACCGCTGTTAAATGCTTGTATGCTTGTTTGTAGAAATTTATTACACATTGAAAGCATATCTTAATCATGTTTACTTTTTATGGAACCCCAGAGTTATGTATCCAACTTTTACAAGAGATTTATTAGTGAATATTTAAGTCTGTGTAGTTGAAAGAAACCCTGACATTCGGATTTTACGTACTGCGATACAATAATCTTGAGAAATAATCATGACATATTGTATATTATAAAAGTAAATATCCTAAATTCAATCAGTTAAAACAATTTGTCTACATTTATCATTTCATAAAGCTATGCTTATAAATTTCCCCTTATTTTTGTAAACATATTTTCGTGTAATCCAGTTCGTTCAAATTACGTTGATTGTACTATTCACTCTCCTCTTTGTCTTCTAACATTTTAAGAGTTCTCTGAACATGATTTCAGTTTTCGAGCACTAGTGCTTTCTTCTAAATTTCTTCTTCGAATAATAGTATAGTATTTATTACTATAAGCAAAAGCATATTATTTTGAGTTTATTCGTAACGTTCGGTTTCATATTCTACTGATTACAGAATTTTCCTCGAAAATGTTAGAAATTATAAATCACAAAGGTGAAATAGATTGTGCTGTATCCATAATTTGATTTGTGAATCGATTCAGAATGCTTCAATATAAATGAAGTTTATGTTAAGGTAACTTTTATGCAATTAGTTTCGTATGGAATGATAAACATATATGCAGGATACGAATTATTTATAACCCTTTCTTCGTATTTGGCTACATATTAGCTAATAATTTGAAAAGTACATGTCTATCTCATAGCATTAATCAGACTGAATTTTTCGTAATTCTCATAGATCATACTTTATTTGTATAATCACATAATTCATACACTTGATATATTCAAAATATTGAGTAACATCCATCCTAATGTTAAATATATAATGTAACATGAAATAAATGATGAATTCCGTTTCTAAGACCTTTCTGTTTCTTGAATCAATGATGGAACATTTCAAAGCTGTAAGCATCGCAGATGTTTATGAAAAGAGTTGTTAAATATTCATAACGTCAATTGTATAAGCTATAAATGGAGTTTGATGAAAATGCTTAATCAAAGTGGTCTACAATTTTGCAGCACAAGAAAGCTTAGAGAAACATGTTTAATAATAGGTCATTTTTATACTGGTCAAGACTTAATAATAAACAGTTGTTTTTCATTGAATGATTACCTTTTTGAATTTATGACAAAAATTAGTTCGGAATATTAGACATGAATCAAATTTGACAAGTATATAAACTAACATGTTTTTGTGCAGTTGAGCTGCCTAAATAGTCAAACCAAAAGAAAAGTTATTTAAAGACTGAGTTCAATACCATAAAGTATATTTCCCTCGATGCTCTATAATAAAAAATTTTACCCATCACATACATATCTATTTGTAAATAATACTTTATGTATAAATGAAGAGACAGGTTTATTAAAAGAACAAAAAGGTGAGTATTTACACAATTTATTGCGTATAATTTTCCAAAACTTAGGTACACTGATTTTCGCAAACTGTATTTAACAAAATAAAGAAGCTTTACTTTTCAGTGATATCTATAGTCTTTTACCATCAACTATTTTTCATATCTTGGATAGAAAATAAAATTCTCGTTTAAAAAAAAAATAAATAAGACTGTATCATTAAAATATCTTACAGAATATACAAATACGTACTACTCATTTGGTATCTTGAAACGCGGATATATGTTCCTCGTGTTATGGGAACAGATAATTTTTGATATCTCTTTGAAAAAAAAACGATTCCAGTATAATGATGAAGAGAAATTAGTTTAATTTATACTGATATTTAAAATAATAATAATAATAATAACGTTTTAACAGAATAAATGAACATTTTCTTGATACTCCTTCAGGCGAAATTACTTTATTTAGTTAATGTATAACTTGTATTGTCTATGACAAAGCTACTAATTATGGTTTAATTTTTCATCCAAATTTCAACTTAACTAGATGTTAGAATAACAAGTGTTTAAAGATAATTTCCGTGTTATCATATCATTAAGAAAAATTACTCAGTTCAGTAATAATTCTATCCGGTTTTGTGTTTTTGTTTTTTTCAAAAAAAACTAAGATTCTATTGGTTAATCTAGTAAACCAATCATATTTAAGACAATTCGTAATATGATTCTATTAGATTGTAAATAATTTCATTAGATAAATTTAAAGCAGAAAAAAAACAAATACACGCCTTAATCACATTTACATTGTTTTGCATTTATAATGTGATACTTAGCGATCATCTACTAATATAAATAGTTAAATTATGCGGATGTATAAAAATCAAGATGTAAAAATGAAATTATTCTGGCTTAAAATTCTTGTCAATATAAATAAACAAACAATGATCAAGGTTAGTTAAATGTAAACTAATGAATATTTTAAATTATTTATAATGAAAAATTCTAGATTTAAAATTTTATTTAAATTGTATTAAAAAATTATTGGAAATTCAAAGATAACTACTCAGATATTTCTATTGATTTATGGAACTAATGAAGAAATATTTAATCACTCTTATACCTTATTGTTTACATTGTAAAATTCAAAGTTTGGTTAGAAATTTAATGTTGTTTATCTTTAAAGAAGATAAGTTATCTTAAACTAATGAGTACTTAACTTTAAATAGTATAAATAGATCATTGAAATATGTTTTCAGTTGTGTAAAGAGTTTGTAATAATACTTTTTATTCCTTAGCTTACATATTTGATGTCTTCCGGTTATCATGTCAAAATTGCATGATAGCTATATTCTTGAAGATATCTATTTACCAATTTAATTATTCATGTGGAGCCAATTTCATATCTGAAATATGAGTGAGGATTTTTCTTGTACCGTTTGTAGATATAGGTTTTTATGATTTATCAAAAAGAAGACGACAGGAACAAGAAAGTTAAGTTAAGCCGCTTTTGATGGGGCTAAACATCAAATGAATTTAAAAATGGATTTTAAATATCTTAGTTTCTCAAACTTATGCTTTGTTTAAACTCTTAATCTTTTAATTTCTTAGTAATACATTTTTATGCATTTAGATAACATATATAAACAGGAGAATAAAGCAATCGTTTGGTTTACATTTGTTTGACAGAGTTAACTGCCTGAATAAATAATTGCTATAAATCTATCCTGACGTTGCCTATTTCTTTTTTTATGCTTACGTAATCAGTTCTGTCGAAATAGCTGATTAGTCATTATTTTTTATAAATTCCAGTAACGTACTTATTCTCAAACAGATAACACAAAATGTAGCTTTATACTATTAAGGAATGCTCAGTCATTTGATTAATATGGATTTTATCTAGTTTTAAAATCTGTAAATTTATCCGAAGCCATTTTGAGAGTTATTTAGAAAAGACTATGTTTTTGCTCAATCTCTTGCTTAATAATATTCTTAGTTGAAAAACTCAATCTTCGTATTAAACTTTGCTGATTATTGAAGATGAGGTGCCCTCTAAACATTTGAATATTGTTTATCGAATGAATAAACATCTCTGTTTAGTTGGTCGAATAAAAGACCACTCGTATTTCAGTGTTGTTGAGTTCTCTAAGCCAGATGGTTTAAATACGAAATATCCATTTTTGTTCCGAACAACGTCATCAGTCAAAATTTTAGATAGTGAAAATTTTAAGTGTCAGAGAATTTCCTAAAGCAAGAGATTTAGGTGAATCACAAATCAATAGACACGTCAATTTTGAGCCGATGTACAAAATCATTTGGAACAGATGAGGCAATAACAACAGCGAACTTGAACATAGAAGTAACTGTAGACAATGGAACTTACAAACATAACTAATTGCAATAGCGATCATCAAGACAAACTGATGTTACGCTTATAGAATAACTCAAATACTCACTTCTACGTGAAGCAACCACTAATGATGTTGTTCGGAACGAAAAAAGGAAATTTTTATCGAAACCATCTAGCTTAGAGAACTCAATAACAGCGAACCATTCATTTGAACTTCAAATCTTTCCCCGCTTCTCATAATATTCGGTTTTCAGTTATATGACCTCTATGATTAATTTAAAGTAGTAAAACAAAATCCATCTTTACCAACTGTCTGATTTAATATTCAATAGTTCCGTATTGATTTTAAAATACAACGCTAATGTATACTTTGACATATATATATGGATTTGACATTTGGACAACTATTTTTCGGTTAAGTTGAAGTGTTTCATAATATATAACCGTCTATAGATATATAATAAACTTTCAAACTTTCTAGAAAAGAGTAGTTACAGTTTCGATGTTAACTGTATGTCAGCTAAATCTTATTTATTAAGGATTGTGTTTGTATAATAAAACATGATTACTAGTTTTAAAAGACTATATTTTTAAAAAAAATTATCATGGGAATCTATTTTTGCAGATTTTTGGTCATTTAGCACAGTTTATCTCTCATTTTTATCAAGATTAATAAGTACTCTTTCGATTGGGTATGGTATTTATTTAAAATGTATTGAGTTTGGAACAATAAGTTTTCTTTACAGAATAAAGTTATTTACAAAATCATTGAAAACAATGGTGTATTAAACGGCTAGTTCATCTTAAATAATACTCTCTCTAACTGTGACTAAACCTAGAAAATTCAGGTTACATGGCTAGGACCATACACTTAAAACAATGTTTCAAAATTTAGTGATCATTTTCAGTGATCTCAAAATATAGTGCAATGATCAAGGAGTGCTATCAATGATATTTGTTTAATCTATCTTTTATGGTCTAGAGTCAATGGTTCTATAGAGTCGTTAGGCAGAACAAAAGGCTGCAATTTGTTGTTTCATAATCTTCATCAGCTGTTTATGTGTTGTCGTAGTTTACGAAAAACTATTTGCATGCTTGACTGATCTCCTTTGACTACCTATTTAAAGAAGAACATTTATTTACTAATTTCGGTAACACAATTTCAACATTTCAGAAGAAAATAGAAACAGATGGATAATGAATCTATGGATGTATTGAATAAATGAAAAGTTTAGTATCTTAATAATGAATAGTAGACTAAAACCTTTGACTCTTAGTGATATTTTTTTAAAAACATCCTTTATGGATTTGAATTACCACATCAAGTTATAGAGTAACTTCAGTGTTTGATTATCAATTCCGTTTGCAAATGTTTAGTTACCGTGTAGAAATCATGATCATTTTGGAACAATACAAATTGATACTTTACGATCTATTAGACCTGTGGAATTAATACAAGACTATATTTATGGTTTGTTGAATAGTTACATTTTTGTAAAATTTTCATTTCTGACTTCAAATGACCAAATCCTAGAGAAATTAATGTTAAACCAATGTGTTGTTAATAAGTTTGTCCTTTTTTTTCCTTTTTACTGATGGCTTGTCACACTGATGTCTGCATGGAATATTTAAATTTACATGTTTACATATTTAGTTGAATTGCTTAATAAATCTATCTCGAAAATCCAACTGTTAAGGGCAACGTCTAGACGCTGTTTACAGTTTATTGCAGATGGTGGAGAAGATTTGTAGCTCAGGTGGATGATTTTGATGGCGTTTATTGCAGCATCGATATACTGCTAAACTTCACTTGTATATGCACATAATAATGTAAATCTTATAAAATGTTTTGCGCTTAAATTATGAAATTTATTGAAATATAATTTATCGGTCATTCATAGCTAGGAAATGTATATGAAAGTCATTCAAAGTCTTCGTTTTACTTGAATAATAATGCAGACATGGAATTAGGTTCTGTGGTCACTGTATAAATAATTGTAAAAAGAAATCTGAATAAATAGTGTCATTGATGGTTTGGTGGCCCATTATTTTGATGGGAATTAGATCGGACGATGATGTTGTCGACGGGCTCACCAATTTATTGGCTCTAAATCTGACTCCAATTTGATTGTATACTGCTTGTAATCAGTATACACATACTGCTAATCCTCGTACATAATCATCAACTTGCGTTATTGGAAAATGGAATTAAATAATTCGAATATGAGAATAGATTTTGAATACGTATGTTTTGTGTATTCGTTGATCGGATCGTGAAGCAAGACAAAATGACGTGCAATGGAGAAGGCGAGTAAGCCAACTCAGTTTAACCAAGCGTGAATCAATATTTATAGTCAGACAAAAATAAGTTACAGACATGTGATGAGTAAGATGAGAAATGCACACACACACTCATATAAAAATAGTCAAGGTTTGGCCAGTCCGGAAGCCAGATTAACCTATATGGGCAACCGACACTAAAATGGTATTGATTATGATAATTTTAATAATTATACTGTCACAGTTCACTAACACTTTTGATCCATAATTAGCAATGAAATAAATTGATTATCATTTTTACTAATCAATACAACCATAAAATGTGTTTCTGTAAGCTTTCCAAAATATACACATGGAAGTACATACATTTGTGTTTGTTACAATTGTTAGATTTTTCTTCTTTTTTTTCCTTCCATTATAACAGAAAGTTTTAAAATGATGATGTTTTATTTCAAATCATTACAACTGCAATCCTTTATCATTCAAGTAGCATATTACTTATTGAATAAACACTCGAAATTCATAATTCTTTTTTCTAGGAAAATTTGATTGTTTACAAAAGAAGTTATTATTTAACTGGATACGAAACTATCACATGAGTGTTTGAGCGAAATTCAGATTTATCTTGGGTAAAGTAATGCATAGATATAAAATCTGAAAATTAATAAGACGTGAAAAATACATTCAGTGATCAAATGGTAGATACCATGGTCAAACCTAATAATCAGAGGTAAAGATTAATAGGAAACTGAAGGCAAATGTTTTTTTTATATTTCTTAGTTTTGTGAATGACCAACAGTTTTAAATTGTAAAGTATGAAAACATAGTTATCCAGTGCTCTATGATCTTCAATAGTAGTTCGATTGATGCCGAAAATATACCTATAAAATACTTAATTTTCATCAAAATAAAGTATAAGTTTAAGTCAGCTTGGTTAGTTGTCGGAACAGAAGCGAAACATGTTTGACCAACGAATACTGATAATAATCCGACTACTGATAAAAGCCGCTTAGAAAATAAATGAAGTGACAATCTAACTGGTTATAAAAAAATGGGTTATTTTCAGCAGCATAAATTAGATACTTTTCCATAGTTATTATCCTGTACTAATGTAAAAAAATGAGAGTACCCGTGATTTCAGAAAATGTGAGGATATGACTACATATTATTACATTTTTCAGCTACAAGCTAGCTAATAATCTCAGTTGCGTAAAATTTTATATTATGATTAGATCTGGAATTTAAGACATGAGTTGTCAGTTTTTAAAACGCTTGTTTAAAACTAGGTTTTTCAAAGGCGATCCTTTAAAATATCTTCAGTGA